AGCTAATACATCTTGCAGCCTGTGTTAACTTCATAAAATCCTTATACAAGGCTGTTATTTTTTTGCGGCTCCAGACAGATGTTGTTTTTAGTTTTTTTGTCAATTATGGCTCTTTGAACATTTTGGGTTCCCGACCCCTGATCTAGAAGGTAGTCATCTGACCTGTAGCGCTCTTTTGGTCTTCATGCTATTTCTTATGAGCCAAAAGCATTTTTTCAACATGAAGCATCCATAATCTGTTCTCCAATCGTCTGAATACCATTAAGAGATACAATCTATCATTAACCCATAGTTCCCTTTGTGAAAGAAAACATGCCATAGTTTATAATTGTCATTCTACAGACTTACTTGACTTCAAATCACTCTTCACCCACACGCCACTTAAACCCCTCCTCTATCTCCGGTCCCATTCTTAAGTCTCACAACAGCCCACCGCACTCTGGCTAATGCCCCACGCTCATCCTTTTCATCTGGCCCTCTGCGGACGGCGCCTGAAAGGAAATGAGATGCAGCAGGCGGCCCGAGAGAGCGCCTTTAAGACGGTCCGCAGGTATTAAGCTCTCTGGTTAAAAGTGCAGGCGGGGGAGCAGGCCAGTTACAAGTAATGGGCTCGGACCACAAGGACACTCACCCATGTCAGAGATTACACATGAGGCGTCTCAGTGTAAAAAACAAAATATCGGCTGTTTAAATTTTCCTGGTTGTGCTGCGTTTTAATTGTGATCATATATACTGTAAGTCACATCTGCTTCCAATCACCAACTTCACCTATAATCCTTTCCCTGCCATCTTGTTTTCCCTCACCAGCATTTTTCTTCTTTAGTAAACAGCTGACAAGTTGTAAAAAACACAATTCTGTTTTTTCCCTCTTGGCCAACTGATCCTGTGGTGTTTTGGTGCGTCATCAGATCTAATGCAGTCACAGCGAGACACTTGCCCAGAGTTTTGTTTGTTCAAAGGGCGTGTGCAGCAAGGAGCCAATGAGTCAGGAGATGTAGGGCACTGTAGGCTACTGCTAAAGTGTGTAACAGATCAATGCCATGATTTCTAATCGGATCTGGCTTTCCACTGTTTTAACACATGCATAAAACAGTGTCAAGTCTGTTTGTGACCCTGAAGCAAGCCTTGTGCTCTATTAAAAGGTGATTGCTTTGTCTGTATGGCATCTCTTTATTCTTCTGGCCCATTTCTTCTTAAACGTCCCTCACATATCTTGAAAAATCGTTTTGGCGTATCAACAAATGCTGGACTCTTTGCAAAGCCTTTTCTTCAGTCTTTCCATTAAATTATTTGGAATGATTTTATGATTTATTATGAGTACAAACTGGTCCTGGTTCATCTCAGAATGGTTGCCTAGAAAAAAACAGATACATAACATGCACTTAATGTTTTATAGTTTTAGAAAAATAACTCTTGTATGGATTTATGCATTTCTCAAACATTTATTCTGTCTTCAGAGTAAGTTACGAGGAGTATGGCAATCAAACAAAATGTTAATTGTATGAGTCAGGTTCAGAGCGGTGCCACACGGAAACAGCTCCGTGTAAAACCAGCTCATTCACTTTCACATAGTTATGAACATAAACAAATTAAGGTAATCAATATGAATAATTCAATTTGATCTTTTGTTTCAGCACTAATTCACATGTGGATCTCCAAAAAGATGGGCACTAGAAACCTTTAACCATTTATAAAACGTGATTTTGAAGTTGCAAGGGTGGACTAGATGCAGGACATATGGGGAGGCTGCATTTCAGATTCATGCTGCTAAAATCTGGAACAATCTTCCTGAAGATGTGAGACAGGCCTCCTCTCTGAAAATGTTTAAAACCAGGTCAAAGACAGTTCTGTTTAGCTGTGCATACAACTGAGGGATTTTATATTTTTAATGTTCTGTGATTATTTATGATTGTAATGCTTTCTTGTTTTGTTCAGCACTTTGAGTTGACTTGTGTATGAATTGTGCTATACAAATAAACTTGCCTTGCCTTGCCTTACATATCTTTGTTAGAGAAATGATTGTTAGCAAAAAACACAACAATGCAATATTTTTACAATATATTACAATGTTTTACAGCATTTGTTCTCTCTGATCTCAGCTGCAGACAGGTGCCATTTTCTTTGGGCAGGAGAGTTAAAAGGACAAGAGCAGAGGTGTGTTATCTATTAAGAGGAGCAGGTCAATGCTCAGAACATACACAGATGGATTTAGTGACTGTGGTCTTCGGGGAAATAAGAGCGGCCTGAACTTAAATCAATATGTCCTTTGAATAGCGAAAAAAACGCAGATAGCAGAGGTCGGCGCCTGCCCGACACGTTGGCCATATAACGGCTATATATATATATATTTTATGAGGCAATAATACTTCAAGGTGTGTCGTATTTTCGCACCGCTTGATCGCATCCTGTGCTGCTTATATTACGTATAAAGTCACCAAACCAGTGCAGATACAGTATGGTATCAGCAGATTCTACTGTTTGCCCCATAGTGGTCTCAATTCTTCCACACCTTCCGTTATTACACGCTGAGAACTATTTCTGGCCGCAAGGTTGAAAAGGGGCCGGGGGTTTTATCGCAATTTCGTCCGACATTTGATAAGGAAAGTGGTGTGGTAAAACAAGCGCCCTTCTCTCCGCCGTAGCCGCTCAATAATGCTTCCATTGAGGAGGCGAACACAGCACCACGCCTTTTCACTTCACCCCGAGGGAAAAGTACCTTGCACCGCGGCTATCACTAAAAAGGTCAAGCCGCTTCAGTCCCATGGAAACGACAGGACAGACGGGTGCACACAAGCCGCGTCCCGCTCTCATCTTTGCGACAATAACATTTTCAGGGAGTTGGCGGGGGACATGGGCTCCAGAGGTGTGGAGAATGTCAGGACAACGCTGTGACCTTTTGATGGGCGTGAATAGAGATGGGTGTCCGGCGCCACCGATGCTGCTGTTGTTTTTACTGTGGCCTTTTCCAACCACCGCAGCGCCTTTGCTTTTCTGTCCGCAGATGTGTCGTATGGACTTTTTTAATTTATGTTTTTAAAGGAGCATTATGTAAAAATCTGGCCAAAAGTGGTACTGCAGTCACAGACAATATTTTGTAGTCCTCTCCCACTCTCCCTGACTCAGGTTGCCAGATACACACCAAATCCAGCAGCAAACACAAGGAATTATTTTATCAGTTGTTTGTCTGTCTCTCACATTGCCACGATAGCTGTGAATGAACGTTTTTTTCTTTTTTTTCTTTGGACATTTGAGATGAAAAAAACAAAACAAAAACTAAATAAAATCAATGTAATTATACATAGATTTTGCAAAATAAATAAGCAATTGATGCTTAGGAGTGGGAAGAATGGATGTTTGAACATATTTCTTCAGTGTATCAACATCAGGGTTTTATCATCCTTCAATTTGATCTATTCCCTATTTTTTAGACAAAGTCCCACATCAAAAAGAGACTAACATTATTTTAATTGGGTACATGTGGTCTCAAATGATTCTTTTTACAATTAAGCTATAATCTGCAAAAAAACGTCTTGATTATTGTCTTTAACCGTTTTTTGATCATTCACATAGAATGTGATATTATACAGTTAAATACAAATACATTTCTACCGGACTCGAACCCGAGTCAATGTGGTCACAGCACTACGGCTTAACCATTAGACCACCATTGCATTGCATTCAGTACGTAGAATCAAGCAAGCTACTTTAACTGTCAATGAAGAACACACTCAAACAGCAAGTTTTGCATCACACTAAAAGTTTTTATCCGTCTCAATTTTTCAAAGGCCTTTGAAAAATATAAATATAAATATAAATCCTCGTTTTAGTCTTTGTTTTGTCATTAATGATTTGAGAGTAATAATAAGACCTATTTTAGTTCTGTGGCCACATGTTATTTTACCAGTGAAATAGCCGTGGGGAGTTCTGGCAACCCGGAGTACGGACTTTGTGATTGGTGAAACGGCGGAGGGTGGGACATCGAAATAAAAACAATAACAACTTTTACAGGTCGTAAATCTAATTTTGATTTTCAAATATCTCTGAACCACTGTTATCAGTTAAAGATGTATTTGAAAAGAGCATGATTTAATAATCATAATTAAGTGTGTGTGGATAGGGAAGTCTGGGCGTCTCTGCTTAGACTGCTGCCCCCGCGACCCGGCAACGGATAAAGCGGAAGAAAATGGATGGACCGATGATTTAATAATGCCTTTTGAAACATTGGGGCCATTTAATGATGACTTGACATGCAAATATTACATATTGATACTTTAAAGAATCTAAACTACTAACTTTTCTTTGAACTTCTCCCGAGTCGTTTCATTATCAGCTTTAATGGACTCAAATGGGCTTTAGATTAGTTTCATGATTCAAAAAGATTTCTGTGTGGGATAAATCTATATGCATTAGCAGAGCTGTTTTGCCTGTAAGCTCACATGGAAGTATTTGTATGATAACAATGGTTTAAAAGAGATGTTGGCTGGTGGCACAACAATAAAGAAGACAGAAAGTTCAGAAAGTTCGCATTAATACCATATCAACTTATCGTTCAATAACTGCATTTTTTGGACCTCCACATTTATTGACTCTACCACTAATTTTTTTGGGTAAAACATTGTGGTTTTAGCTGTAGAGGGTCCAACATGGCTGAATATGACATTTTTTATTTGCATTTGCTTTTAATTGAAATAAATAAATCAAATATTTGTTACTGTACTTTATCCAGCCACATTGTGTCAGGGGCTTAGTAACAAGTGGTTTCAATATTATGATGATCGCAAACACGGCAGAAACAAGTGGCCGGCTTTCCTTTAGCTATGATTTGTTTTGTTTGTGTAATTTTAAACGTTTAAACATTTTAATTTCAGAGAGTTTTCAGTCACTGCTGGGTTGATTCTGGGCCAGCTGCCAGCATTCTCTGTGTGGAGGCCGTATGACCTCTCAATGTTACTTTGGAGTCCCTGTGGCTTCTACCCATTGTCCAAAAACATGCAGGTGAAATGGAGAAACCAAATCACCCTGAGGGAACGACTGTGAGTGAAAGCCTGTCTGTCTGTGCCCTGTACAGTATGTCCCCAGTCCTTTACCTCACACTCTAATGCCCATCTCAGGCTCAGACTTCATTCGTTATTTGCTTTTTATTTACTGTGTGTGAGCTATTTGCTTCTGGTTACCAAAATGTCAACATCAGTGCTTAGATAGATAGATAGATAGACCTTTATTGTCCCCTGAGGGAAATTCATTTTCACAGGCACTGTCACATACAGGTTACAATAAACACAAGAGACACCGAAGGGAGGGAAACACATACAACGCAGGAACAAGGGCAACATTACAGACTGTTTAGAGCTGCTATCGCTGAAGGGACAAAACTTTTACTAAATCTTGCCCTCTTCCATCTTAGAGTTCTGTATCTGCGTCCTGAGGGCAGCAGAGTGAAGTGGGTGTGGAGGGGATGGTCTGGGTCAATGCTTACTGTCCGGGCCATGCGTGTTACTGCTGTGAGGTTGAGCTGAGAGAGGTCTGCGGTGGGGAGACTGATGATTTTGGATGCTGTGTGTGTGACTTTAGTGAGTTTGTTTCTGTTGGTGATGGAGAGCATGTTAAAGTAACAGGGGGAGCAGTAGAGGAGAATAGGTTGAATGATTGAAGAGTAGAGTTTCAGAAGCAGATTTGGAGAGACAGAGAGGGCACGGAGCTTACGAAGGATGTAGAGTCTTTGTTGGGAACGTTTATGGATATCTGTGACATGTTGTTCAAAGGTGAGTTTATTGTCGAGTGTGAGTCCAAGGTATTTGAAGTGATTAACCCGTTCTATTGTTTTGTTGTGTATGAGAGTGGGAGGCAGGTCTGGGGTGTGTGAATGAGAGTGGAAGATTAGTTCCTTGGTTTTGTCCGTGTTCAGTTCCAGAGAGTTTTCAGAACACCACTCTGTGAAGTGGGAGATGGACTGATGGTAGGCAGTGATGGAATTATTATCTGTCAAGAGGGCAAGAATGGCAGTGTCATCAGAATATTTGAAGTATGTGGTGGTTGGAGATGGGCTGATGCAGTCGTTTGTATAGAGGGTGTACAGGAATGGACTTAGTACACACCCCTGGGGGGCGCCAGTGTTGGTGACGATGGTGGATGATGTCACTGAGTCAACTCTGACGGCCTGTGGTCTATTGCTGAGGAAGTTATGAGTCCAGCGAATGAGGAACGGGGGCAGGTTGAGGAGTTGGAATTTCCTGATTATTTGAGGGCGCTGAATTGTGTTGAATGCTGAGCTGAAGTCAATAAACAGGATGGATGCAGACGTACCAGGTAGTTCCAGATGTTGAAGGAGGGGGTGGAGGAGACATGAAACAGCATCCTCTGTTCCTCGTCTGGCTCTGTAAGCGAACTGGTGGGGGTCCAGCAGGGGTCTGACTGTCGGGAGGATGGAGTGAAGTATGAGTCGTTCTAAGCATTTCATTATGATGGAGGTAAGTGCAATGGGTCTGTAGTGGTTTGGCTCGGATGGTCTGGGCTTCTTGGGAACCGGGATGATTGTGGAAGTTTTCCAAGCTGTGGGAATGTGTGCCAGCCTTAAGGAGTCCCAGAAGATTGAGTGAAGGACTGGTGACAATTCCATGGCACACAACTTCAGCACCTTGGCCGGGATACCGTCAGGGCCTGGTGCCTTGCCCATCTTGCACCTGCTAAGTTGTAGGTGTACATCCCCCTCCGTAAATGGGGGCTGTGATGGGGTGTCCAGGGGCAGGGCACTGAGCAGCTCTTCACAGACGGTGGTCGACTGAGTCAAAACGGGTGTAAAAATCGTTCAATGAATTTGCAAAGATGGTGGGGTCTGTTGTTACATGGTGACTGGAACTTGGGGTATGACCGGTGAGGAGCTTAATTTTCTGGTATGCTTGTTTAGTGTTCATACTGCCAAACTCATGCTCAAGCCTATCTTTAAACTTAAGTTTAGCTTTCATAATATCATTTTTAATCTGTCTGTTGAGTGTATTGACAGTGCTCCAGTCATTTAAATGAAAGGCTGCGTGCCTTTCATTCATACTGTTTTTAATGTGAGAAGTAATCCAGGGCTTTGAGTTGGGATATTTCTTAAACGTTTTGGTAGGTATTGTAGATAAAATACAAAACTTAATATAGTCAGTGATTACTGAGACCTTGTTATCCAGGTCCCCTTGAAATACATCCCAATCAGTGCACGCCAGGCATCCCTGAAGCTAACCAAAAAACAATGCACATGGCTTTTGTATTTTCAATTAACCCTGGAAGCTTAACACATATTTTAAAGGAGATCTGAAGCAACATAGATTTTGTGGCCGTTTTATAACATTGTTTTTTTTTTTCATTTCATTTTCAACCCCTTTGTCCATTTCTGGGTCGGGGGGATGGCAATGAGAGCTGCCACCCAACACTCATAGCACGAGTCCCTCGCTGATCTTCTGCAGGGGGTGAGTCCACAGGAAGATGGCTGCTCCGTCAATTGTGAAAAAGCCTTGATCTTTCAGCGGGGGGCTTCAGGCAATGTGGGGTTAAGTGTCTTGCCCAAGGACACAACGACAGCAGTGATCAGTGGGAGCAGTTGGAGTAGGTCCCATGGTGGGAATCGAACTCACGACCTCCAGGCCGAAAGGCCAATGCTCTACCAACTGAGCTTATTGTACTTTTTACTATGTTTTTTCATGTAAGTCCTATTCTTGTGATTTTTTCCACTATCAATACTTTCTGAAATGACTTGCTTCAATACTTGGTCTGGAATTGATTTAATATTTGATTTGACACCTGACCGAGGGACAGAACAGATCTACATTTGGAGTTTTGTCCTCCATTTACATTTGGGATCTGATTCGTGTTCCTCACAACTGTTACTTTGCTCTTTAATCACAGTGCAGCGTTTTTGAGGTTATCAAAAAGTGCGCCTTCCCACTGCTCCCTCACATGGAGGTGTGATAGAAGTGTGTTAATAACTGAGATCCTGGCATTAGTTACTTAGGACATTATTACACTTCTCTAAAACATGAAATACTAATGCCATTTTTCTGAAGATCATGTAAAAAATAATGCATTGTATTTCCACTTTCTATAACGGCAACAAGAACAAGCAACACTAGAAATACAAATTGCTTTAAATACATACATAAAGAAGAAAAAAGTGCATACATATATTTATTTGCATGTTTCTGTTTTGAGTGTGAATGTATGAGTTGGAATTTTGCGCCGTAGCAAATCACGGATCATAAAAGGCCTTCTGTAAAATGTTATCGTGTATTTTCTCTGGTTTATGGACAAACTGTGCACTAAAACTGTGGTGCAACGGTGTTTCCAAATCCGCACCTTGGTGGGAGAGTTTTATACCTCGGGAGTCTGGAGCTAGTGGTTCTACTTATCCAAGCTGAAAAACAAAGATAAGTCACTCCTGCAGCCTCCGTGGTTATCCCCGTCCAACCACAACCTGCCATTCCCTCACAAACTCATCCTTATGTAGCCATTGTGTGTCTTTGCAGGTGATTTTCCTGACAGCCCCCGAGACGAGCTCTGCAGAAGAGAAGTGCTAAGTCAGCAGGAGACAGGTGAGAATCTAGTGCAGAGAAGCACGATGGCTCTGGCTGCCATTTTCTCCTGAAATACTATCGTTATTTTAGCATTTGAAAACAATCTGTGAAGAGGCGAGTCCACTCCCATTTAGAACATTCTGCACATGTTTATCCCCCCGTTGTATTTCAATTGAATAAATGCAAAGCAGTTCAATGTCATGCAGCATTAACACACAGGAGACCAGCACGAGTAAAGTTACAGTCCCCTCGTATACTGCGTATGGTTTGGTATTCATGTACTCTACAGTTATGGTATTGGAGGCATGAGATGAGTTTTAATATCTGTTTTCATACATCATACCTTGTGTTTTTTGAGCTGTGTTAAAATGCACTGTCGGGTCAAAAGGGGAAAGGCAGGCATGTTGTTTGGACCTGTGCTGGCCTTTCACCACAGGTGAGACTGTGGTGAAAGGCCAGCACAGTCCAAACAAACTTCAGGCATCATAAAAGCCATTGAAACATTTTTCAACATTTTTAAAGGACAACTTTATATAAAGTTTACTTTTGAATGTGCTGGAAACAGCAGCAAGTTCAAACCATTTTGTGCTTTACGATTGTTGTTTTTCTTGCTTTTTTCTAGCTGTAAATGTTCCTTCAGTACAGTGTTCATAGTTTTGCATTGATCCAGACCAGAGCAGAGAGGATTCATGGTCCGAACCAAGCAGACCTCTGCTGCTGTGACCTTTTTACTAGTGTTAGCTACTTTTAGAATGATGTATTTGTTTGTTTTGTTTGAATGGTTGGATGGACACCTGCCTTTCTCCTTTGGTGGATCAATAAAGTTTCTATCTTTTTATAAAGGAAAGAGCAGCGCGTGTAAAAACGGTGCTTCACTCTTGCTCCACGACTCGTTACGTTGTCAATATGCAAAGTCTTGTCCCTTGTGTGACTTTGTGAGAGGTTATATTCTTCACTTGACCTACAGGTAAACTGCAACCTTGAAAACAGAAGCCTAGAAAACAGCAGCCTTGAAAACAGTTGCTTTTATTATGTCATGGGAATGGGCCACAGATTCCCTTCTTAATCTGGAATATACTACGCGGTGTAACAGCTTTGAATATTTGCACAGAAAGCAAACAAAAAGCTTTTCTTCACTCACTCACGTTTGCAGCGCTGATCCACCTGTTCACAATGGAAGACTGTTTTTAAGAAAGCCTTTGTTTAACTCAGTGACTCAGAGATTCGCCGGCACACAGGCACACGTGAGTCACTGCATTGTGCTGTTTTATACCTGCCTTTTCCACACCTTCTCCTTTCAGCACAGCAGCTTTTCCACAGAAGCTGCGACGATCACGAGTGTGGACAGAGCCTTAGTGGTGGTGTGCGAGGCCCGCAGATGGGATAGATACATCATTCTCCTAATCCTGTTGGCTTTCATTCACGTCTTTGATTCATCTTCATTTTCCCCCACATTACGACTTAATGGCCTCAGGATTTGTCTATTTATTTTATTTTAGCGCCCATGTTTAACCGAGATTTACCGCTCTGCTTACCTTTCCCTCCTACCGCATTACCCGACTAAATACCAGGCAAGATTTCTGGAGAATTTGAAGGTTATTTGTATCCCTCGCACAGTCTCGCCTTGTAGAGACGGCCCACGCATTCAAATAGGCATAATATTCAAGTACTCTATCTGTGAATCTGGTCATGTCGGCAAAGATTTGTTTTGCTAAAGGAGCATGACATGAGATAAGAATGCCTGCCTTACTCACACAGCGGCTACACTCATTCATTTAGACATTTGCATGAAATTGAATCTAAAGCTTCTGTATGTGGGAAAAAAAACATTTGCAATAAAACAGTTGCTGGAGTGAAGCACAGAGTGAGGTCGTCTGGAAAGGTGTTGGATTCAATTTGATTTTGGATTTAAATGTGAATTATTTACATAGATGTTTACAGAGAATGTTTAGATTTTTCTTTATGTATCCAATGATTATGCGTTTTTTTTTTTGCGATACTTACTTGTGACTAGTCTGAAATCTCTTCAAACCAGTGACCATTGTGGATCACTTGAGAAAAGAGTTAATCCTAGTCAAAAGAACCTACATCTACAAATCATAATTATTTATTTAAGGCAAGGCAAGTTTAATTTCCATAGCACAATTCATACACAAGGCGACTCAAAGAGCTGGACAAAACAAGATAGAAACAGTCACACAAGGCGTTAAAATCATAGATAATCACAGATCATTAAAAATAAAGATTATAATATAAAATCCCTCAGTTCTATTCACAGCTAAACAAACAAGTGTTTCTAACCTGGATTTATTGTCAAAGAAGAATAAAAAAGTAAATATTTGAATCTATGCTGTATGTATTGAATAACTTATATGCACTATATGTTCTATTACTTACTATACACGGTGTAGTTCCCACAATGCACTGACCAGAGTGAACTTACTTCAGTCAAAACAGATTCCATTGGTCTTTTAAGAGTGGCTAGTCCAAAATAAACCTCCTACCACAACTTCAGGCCTAATTATAGCAGCAGCAGCAGTCGGACACAGCCCTGAGCCTATGCACCTGGTGACCCCAGGTACCGCCCCCTCCCAGACCCCAAACAGTCATTTAAACAGAGGCGCTCATTCTACCCACGCTGCACAAACAGTATACCTGGGTAAGTATAGTGCCCACTTCAAAATAAGCTAGAAGCAACATGGATGGCAAAGTAAAGGCAAGCAGGTCCTTAAAAACATCTTATTATAGCCACAGACGTCTCAGCACCAGAGGCCACGGAACGTTAACAGGAAACACAAACTTAACCAGCGTCATTTAATATGTTTTTCAAAGTCATAAAGCATCCTCTTAGAATCTGTGGTTACGAAACAAAATGACTCCACAATTACTGAAATAATGCATTTGTTGCAATATTTGATTTATTTGGCTCAAGTTATCCACTACCTTTTTATTTACCTCTAATGCCTCACCTCAATGCTCCTATGATGAATGACATCACGGTCAGAGCAATGAAAGTGCTCGCCTCTGTCAGGTGAAAGGACAGTACCACTGTTACAACGGCAATCATCAATATCATAATATTCTATACAAATAATTGCCCTGATGCAGGTGGACGAACCAGACGTGAGGTCTCAGATGTGCTCAATAGGACTGAGGTCTGGAAAACGAGCAGGGTCTCAACTTGACGTTTATTCTTTGAGTCCTTCCCATTCCCAGGGCCACCAGCCGACCACCAGCCTCCTCATCCAGAAGGCATTGTGCGCTCTGCGGAGAGGGTGTTCGGCTGCAGCCTTCCATCGCTCCAGGTCTTGTATGTCGCCTGAGCTCGAGGACGGACTGGACCGTCACCTTATACTACTGTCACTTTATCCTGCACTGTTAATGTATATTGTGTGTACTTGTGTGTACTTAGTGCATTTATAGTAGTAATTCTTAGATTTTTTCCTTATCTATATTTTTACCCTTAAAACTTGTTTGCACCTTAAGCTAACGTAAATTCCTAGTTTGCGACTTCCTTTTACTTACAATGGCAATAAAATGAATTGTGATTCTGGTCTCTTTTGTCCTGTATGTCCTCTGTGCTCCTGACACTGTGTTTGGAGGGGCAGCTGCCCTTCTTGCCCCAGTGCATTTTAACGTACCATGAGCTGCACGACCGGAGGAGCTTTTGTGGGTTGAAAAGACTGGCTTTTGGCTTCAGTGGTGAAAGCACTGAAAATATGCAAATCTGTCAAAAGCAGGGATGAGGAGAAGGAAATGGTCTGTGGTCAGGCCCTGCTAAACCGTTCCTTTTCTAAAGGTGTCTTGTTAATTGCCTCCTTCCCCCTTGTTGTTTGTTCCATTTGCTCATTAGGGGAAATTGATTCACAATTGGTGTGGTTTCCGAACTGGCCTCACAGTTTAACTTGGACTTACATTATTCTGTGAAGTGTTCCCTTCCTTTCTCTGAGCAGAATATACACATGTTTCTGAACCAGTTTTATCATCTTTAAAGCCTGGATTTCAAACTGTGAAATGAGTTAAAGTAAATATTGAAATGTATATCTATAACAGATCTTAGAAACATGCAATGTGCTCACCTGGACACTTTTACTGTTATTATGCTTGACTTCATGTTCAAGGAAGGTTATCCAACCAGTGTTCAGCCCAGAGCATCAAAGAGTGACTTACACGGCTCTTACAGGATTGCCTTAGTACACAATGTTTTCTAATTCGATGTAATCTGTAAGTCGTATTCCTTCTGGAGGGGAAAAAGAAATACAGTTGCTCATAATATGAAACATTGGGCATAGCTCTAACATCTCATGAAAGCTGGACGCCAAAGTGAAACTTATTGAATCTTCAAATTAGAACCAGCAATTAGTTTAGTTTGGGGCTTGCTTCACATCATTAAGCATATAGTTATATAAACATTTAATTAGCCGCCCCTTTATGTGTACCTTATGTTAATCAGAATGTTTATTTTAGTGTTTGCAATCTGCATGTAACTGGAAAACTACACTATTTATTTTCTTTCTCATTAGATACATTTAATTAGTGCTGCGGGTAAAACAAGCTGCAAGGCTAAATTATATCAAGCTGTACGTAAATATATTCATTCGACTGTGTGTAATTTTCATAATGAATCACAGCCGCTTCTCTTTGTGTCAAATATTCTCAGAGGCTCTTGTTGTGCACTTGTAAACGCTAACACCACTGTAGCCGCCGGATTGTTTGCGACGCCAAGATGTGTTTTAATCCCCCCGGCTTTTTTCGGAAGAATCCTCTGCTCCCAAACTGAGTAAAAGGCTCCCTTCCACACGACAAGGACGTTTTATTTACTCTGATACACAATCAAGCACAATATCATTTTCGCAGACGCCGATAATTGTGTCAACAAAAGCCACGTCATTCTCGCAAACAATCAGAAGAAAGTGATGAGAAAGAAAACGTCCCGTGGTTCTGTTTGCGTGGGGAGGATAAACACAGAGGTGGGATAGGAAAGAAAGAACGTGAAGGATTATTAGGGGCGACGCAAT